AAAAAAAAAGAAAAGGAGGAGGAGGAGAGGGGGCCAGCAGGTGGCATAGTGGTTAAGGCACTGGACTCCCACATGGCTGACCACGCGCAGTTTGAGTCCTGGAACTGGTGGCTTGAAAATTACACCAGGGGCATGTGTATGTGTGTCCAAAATCTCGAGAAGAGACTGGAAGAGAAGGGATTGTGCTGATGGGGGAGATTTCTCACTTTCCTTCTCTCTCTGTCTCTCTTTGTTAGACAAATACCTTTAAAAAAGAAAAGGAGAGGAGACACAGATGCAAAGGAGGACGCCATGTGAAGATGGGGACAGACAGGAGTGACGTGGCCATGAGCCAAGACTGCCCTGGAGAACCGCGAAGCTGGAAGAGGCAGGAAGGCCCTGCCTGCACCTTGACCTCAGATTCTGCAGGCCAGAGAACAGATTTCCATGGTTTGGAATCACCACATTTGCAGCACTTGGTTAACGGCAGCCCCAGGACACTCACACGAAAATGAGACACTGCACTCTGCTACCTTGGCACAAATTCCCACGTGAAGGTAACACATCAAGGCCATTCCAATGAATACGATAGCAAGACTCCGTCCCAGTGCCTCGACCTGCCCTGCTGCCACTTTCACTCTGTCCTGACCAACAAGGACAGCCCCTCTGAGAGGCATGTCCGTGGGCCCGTGCCCCGACTGCTGCCCTCTGAGTCTGCAGCCTGTGTGGCTGGGCTCCGAGTCTCTGGCACTCATGCGCCTTGCCATGGCATCTAGGGGACCAGAGGATTCCTAGCCCCCAGATCCGTTGGCAGGCTGTCATGGATAGAGTGGACTTGTGCGATACCCTGAAGGCCCGTGAGACTGAGCTCCCTGGGGTGGAACGTGGCATGGAGCCAGAAAGCTGAAGTGTCTTGAGGAGGCGGGAGCTCACGGGGCTCTCTGTTTTCAGGGTTATGGACTGCAAGGCACTTGCAGAGGCTCTCCTGCACTGCTGTAGCAGGAGGGTCAGAGTGGCCCAGTGGCTGTGCATGCAGTCACCCTGGGCTCGTGGGCCCGGCTGCTTCTGCTAGGCCCCTCTTCAAAAGCCACCCTGGGAGCCCCGCAAGATGCTAAGTAGATCCAGTTGGGTGATTCGCTCGAGGTCTTGGGAGGTAACCACAGGCTGAACTCAGGGAGCTGTGGCTTCTCCATCTTGACCTTCCCAGCTGTCTCACATCATAGCAATCATCTATCAGAATGACCCCAGGGACTGTCACTAGCCCCTTCCATGCTCTGCGTTCCTAGCGCCTGATGCAGTTTCCTGCTTGCGGAAGACAGGAAAGCTATAGGGTGGTGAACAGGTGAGTCCGATATTCAGCAACCAGTCACCAAATGCTCAGGAGGCTCCTGAGCGCCAGCCTGCAAAGGTGGACAGAAGTTGAGCCCCAGCACGCAAGGCCCCTGGAAGGTGCAGACCCAGCGCCAGGCAAAGGCCCTCCACGCCGCGCCAGCACGCCCTTCGGGTCGCAGCAACGTGCTGGGATGCTCCTGAGAACCCTCTCAGAGCGCTCTCAC